GGGCCTTCTGCACCATGAGTTAAATAAGCCGTAGGGTAGTAGTGATTTCAAGATTCCATGAAAATTCCACTTGGTAGACGAAAAGAACCCTTCGAGATAGTGCGCCGGTGAATTCTGCCTGAGGCTGTTTAAAAACTAATTTGAGGCTGCGCCTTCGACTGCCAAGGACAGATGACCATATCTAAACAACCACAAGATTCTCTGCATGAAGTGTTTATCATGCCACCGAACACAAGGTCGCAGTGCGTCCCGAGGTGGTGGTTGCATGCGGCTGTGTCATTGGTCTAGGCGTTCTGGAAACTATTCCGCCGAAACCAACGGCTGCATATGGGAAGGTCCAGATTGCGAGAAACGCAAAGAATTGTTCGACCAGATTGATGAAATTCGGTGCTGCGAGATCAGCCTTCAAGTGAACCTTGTCTTGCTTGGCACGGGTTCGGGCATCCGCGCGCACACAATTGTTGGCTGACTGCGCGCGCTGCGCCTCCATCACAGCCCCCAGCGGGGGCAACGCCTGACCTCACACGATCGGTTTTCCACCAGCAGTCGAATTCCGGAAACACTTTACCATTTGCCTTCGCAGCCCCTGCGGGGTATCAGCAGTTCTGGCAGGTGTCTGACCCCCGGATGAACCCCCGTTCGCCTTGAGCGCCACCATCTCGGGCTGCAGCCGAGCTCGTGGTTGTCCCGGGACACCGGCAGTGCTATGGCCTCGTGCCCGGGAATGTCCTTGTCTCGGCGCGGCTCTGTACGCATGTATGCCTCATAAGGCATTGTAACTTTGAAGGCAAACCATTCCGAGGTTGGTCCGAATCCTCGGTGACCAGAGCTACGGAACGATGCAGAAGAGCGAGCGGTATAAGTAGCTAGGGGGTGCCTCAGGCAACGTCAGCGTGGCGCCTGTAGCATGCCTTTGAGAAGAAACGAGTTGTGATTCGCGGAGAAAAAACACCCAAAATCTTTGTTGCGGATACGGTGGCCCATTGAGTGAGTACAGATTTCCTGACGAGCAAATATCCCCCATGGACGACAGTCTCAAGGCATGCAAATCATTGTTGGGTTGTTGTTGTTGTCGCCGTAGCACAAACAGAGCAAGCACTCAAGAGCGTTGGCGGCTAGGCTGGCAAGCACAAGCGTTATCTGCTCCTTCCGCATCCATCTCCTCCATTCCACACACCTCAGCCAAGCGTCTCCCATCGTCTGACAGCTGCCGTGAGCCTCAGACTCAACAAGGACTTGTCTGCAAACCACCAAGTACGCAACAGCAGCTCGCCAGCTGCAACAGAAACACCAGCATAGCCATCAAGTTCTCAGTCGCGAGCGACTAAACTCTCCCTCAAGCATTCTACCTGACCCACGTCCGTCAAGATGGGAAAATCAGAGTCCTCAAAGTCTTCCATTTCCAAGATGTTCGGCAACGCCTTCCGCAAGTCATCTGCCGCATCACCTGCGTCAACCGAGGCGACACAGCACCAGCAGCCGGCAAAGGGGCCACCGCCAGCAGCAGCATCCTCATCCCAGGCAGCGCCGCCACCACCATCTTACACGGAAGCCACAAGGTCCGTTGAGCCGTCATCACAAGTCACTTTCGTTCCCGGTTCTGCTCCAGCAGCGGCAGTGGCAGCAGCGCCATCAGCGTTAACGACCCAAGCTCATCCTCGTCTCACTAGACAATCGGTGCAGAATGATAACGATCCTCATGCATTCCTGTCCTCCTTTGACACCGTCTTCCTGGTCGACGACTCGGGCTCGATGCACGGCCGCAGATGGGAAGAGACGCGCGCAGTGCTCACGGCCATAGTCCCAGTGTGTACCGCCCACGACGCCGATGGTGTCGACATCTACTTCCTGAACCACAAGACCAGGGAGGATATCGACAAGTCGAAAGGCTCCGCAGGCACAGGCTACCGTGGCGTCAAGGACCCCAAGAAGGTTCAGGCTATTTTCGACAGTGTCAAGCCGTCCGGCGCAACGCCTACGGCTACCAGGCTGCGAGCTATCCTTAAGCCCTACCTTACGTTTTACGAAGAGCAGCTGAAGAAGACTGGCGACGAGACCTGCCTGAAGCCGCTGAACATCATTGTCATCACCGACGGAGCGCCCACGGATGAGCCAGATACTACGATTATCCAGTTCGCCAAGGTCCTCGATAGGCTTGAAGCACCGCCATACCAGGTCGGAATTCAATTCTTCCAGGTCGGCAACGACCCAACGGCCGCAAAGGCACTGAAAGAGCTCGACGATGAGCTTGCTTCTGGCACCAACGCTGATCTGCGTGACATGGTCGACACCACTACGTTTGATGATAGGGCGGCGGTAGGCAGCCCTAGCCAGGGAAGCACCGACACAGAGCTTACAGCAGACACAGTGCTCAAGATCGTTCTGGGCGCAGTTGTGAGAAAGCTGGACCGCGTGCAGACTCGGCGCCCGTGATCTCGACGTTTGCAGGGATTCGACTTCGCTTTGGGAAGACATTTAGCCAGTGAGCAGGGCTGCAACTCCCAGAAATTTTCAATGCTTTTTATGGTGTTGAGGCGCTTGGAACTTGGAGTTTCGCGTTATCACGGGAGGCAATGGCGTTTCTGGAGCAGAAGTTCATCTTTTCAGCATGGAAAGGTCTTTTCTAAGTCAGCTCCCAGTGCTTATTCAACTACCAGTGCCAGCAACATGGTGAATTATTATGGGTCTTGTTATTTACTAAAATGCGTTTCCATGCTTGTTGAAGCTGATTTGGTATTTCTTCTTTCCCAAAATAGAAAAAAAAAGCTTCAGGATTTCCTTAAAAAAGAAACTTGTGAAAATGTACTTTCTAACGATCAGCAGACGAACTCTACATCCGAACCAAGACTGCACCGCCATGCAGTCACTTCTAGGAGTGCCAAATTAATGCAAAGGAATAAAAGGGACTCGAAAGTCATGTCTTCCATATTGAAAGAAATATAATGCGTGACCCATATGTTCATTCCCATGTAGCCAATGAAGCTAAAGTCATCATACGATGCCATGACTCTCGGCTCATGCAGATGGTTTCCGAACAGCTATGCCACTTTTAAATCCCCATGGCCGTTTTTAAGACACCGGTTTCCCGTCAAGAGGAACGAGCTTTGACATGACCTGAAGCTCTGTACTACTCTGTCGCCTTCAAACTACCTACTTAAGCGTAAGGTTTCTCCCTGCTGCAAGCACGTCGACGATCCTGCCCAGTCCACGGAACGACTCGCCTCCAAGCAATAATGGACTATGACGACAGCGTCTCGGACAAACTTGATCTAAGTGGCAACTACCAATATCTTGCCGGCCTCTAAAGTGAGGCTCAATTATCTGGAGCACCTCTTCTTCTAGCCGGCAGCTCACGAGAGCCTTCCTGTCTGCTTGCGACAAGTCGTCTCCAGTCCAGACCTAAGCTTGTGCGATTATTGTTGGTAGTTATTGCCGCTTTCAAATCTGGGGGCCACGATGACAGCTCGGGGGTGGCTCATCACTACATACAGCCCCACCCCGAGGCTGAGAAGTTCAGAAAGATGGTCGCAATTTGCACGAACAGCTGGTATACAGGCTTGGTATAGTCGGCTTGTATCTCTCCCATGTCTACAGGAAGAAAGGGCCATAAAGACAAACAGAGGAAACCCCTTGTCTAGAGGGCTCGTCAGATGGAGGCCTGAATTTTCCGTTAAGCAGCGTCCACAGCGATACACTACCCTTGGTGCCCCTTTTAGTTTTGATCTAGTGTAGGCTGTGGAAGTACTCAAAACTACCGGCTCGCCAAATCTCCTGCAGGTCGTGCTTCGTCATTGCGAAAGGGAAAGTCTTCAACTTTCCTGGTTTCCCGGGGCGCTGCAAAGATGGCATACAGTTGAATTTTTTGTTCGTGTAGTCGGGTACTTCAGCGTACGTAGTCGATAAGGAGATGGATGCGTTCTCAGGATAGCTGAAGCTGGGAAACAGCCGTCCAGTCAGAGTGGAAAAGGCTGCAGCTGCGGGTGGCATATTTCTCAGTCACCATGTCCGATGATAAAGAGAGGTGGATAATCTGGCACAAGTGGCCTCGTGCCGCCTGCAAAGAAACTGGAATCCTGGTGTTTCCTGCAAGTCGAGATCAACAGCGTGATCTACCCTGCCAGCGGCCAGGTTGACATCTGCACAGCCAAGACTCCTTCCACACGACGCCGCACTGAGGTCGAGTGCCGTGCTGCATAAAAGACACTGGGTCAAATTGCAGAGATTTGCGCGAGCCTACAGAGCGCCCCTGGACCACGAATTGTCTGAATTTGAGATGCCAGCGGGTAAGGTAAACTTCAACTCTTTAACTCCTCATTAATGATATTGTCGTGACTGCTCACCATGAAAAGTTTTGCGCGCAAAGTATTGCTCTTCAACTTGCAAACTGTTATCAACATCTCAAAACTAATGATTATTCATTTTATGATGCTGTGACGGGCTCAATTTATCAAGCATCCTTTCTTAAGGTAGTTTGATAATCAGGCAAAGACGTGGCCATTTGTTCCACTCGACAAGGTCCGGGCCAAGGAGCCTAGGACATCTAATATATTCAGTCAGATCATAGCGGCCAAAGATCAACGTTTGTATCTCCTTAAGAATGACCTTCAAGTTTCCATTTTGTTCCAGTGCACCTGGGTATCTCGGAAGGATCTTGATCAAGACTTTGCTGTTACCAAGTCAAAACTGCAGCTATTTACAGCCAACACTGAAGATGCAGACTTTGAATAATATGGAGTTCTGTCGCCCTTCATTTTCACGAGTAATTTTCAAGTTTTTCGCCCTCTAGATGCCAAACCCAGCTAATGTTTCTACACAAAACAAGTCTGTTAGCTGATCTGCTCATTGACGCATGTGAAGTTGCAGCATTCCCATCACATCCAACAGACCTTTCCAACTTGGACCACGCCAACAACGTCGCCACCACCACTCATCCACAACAACATCAAAAAGAATGCAGCTTAGCTTCCTCCAACGCAACGCACCCGGCAAAAAGGAACTGCTGAGAAGAGTGGGATTCGAACCCACGCGGGTTGCCCCATTGCGAATATTGTGTCTAGACTTAGGAGGCCTGAACGCAACGCCATAACCGCTCGGCCATCTTCCCCGAACGCTGGAGCAGTGTTTGATGAACAGAACCTGGCGTTGTCGGTTCCCAGGATCCTGTTCCCGGCGGGCGTTGTTGAGCGAGCCACCCTACTCCAGGTAGACAGGAGGGTGAATATTTCTGCTAGCTGAGGGTGGCCGGGGTTCTCTCAAAGGAGACGGGCATAGACATGATTTTTCTTTTTCATGTCGATGCTGGTGTCTGCTGCCAGTCTGCTTGCAACGAAGTGAAATCATACTGGTATTTATGGTTAAAGAAAAAAGCACGTGATCTCCGCCGAATTATATACGTTGGAGTACACGCGCTGTGTTTCCCTTGAGAATGGCAGTTTGACTGACATGGTCGGCTTATGAAAACGAGGACTGGCCTTTGATCCTCCCTGAAGCTTTGGTTCCAGAGTTTGGACAAAGAGAATGTGTGCCAATCAACTTACAGACAGAATGAAGCACACTAGCACAAGCATATTGCAGACATCGCTAGTGACCATCGAGCACTATTTCTGTGGAATCATGTCCTCATTCACGCAGTTGTGTCTGTGCATGTTCACTAAAGTACAGAGACCACCTTTCGTTGCCTGCATTTCTTTTTCTTCTTCTTCTCCATTTTTGTTTTTCGTTTCTATCTCGTTCTCCCAGCCTTCTGCTCAAGAACCAACAGGAAAGGTCCCGTTGGCAGCAGAAGCATGAGAACTAACGAACTCCAGTGCAAATCTTCATCGAACCCTTCTCCTTCCCGTCTCCATAGTATCAGGGCTGATGTGTGCATGATATCCTGATCTGATGCAAGAATTCTTTCCAGGATGACCCCTCAATCCAAGAGGGGACTTGCCAAAGAAATAACGCAAAAGGTCGTCAATTTGTGTGCACGAGTGTTGGGTGATGATGGAGGGGAGTTGTTTGAGAAGCAGCCGACAGTGGCCGCCCATATGGGTAATGAAGATCAAAACCAAATCAAATCAAGGTCGTTGAGCTTGGTCATGTCCTCCGTGTGTCCTGTTAACGCTGGTTGTTCGCAGAATGTGAAAACTGAGAAAATCTCGACTGGAATGAGGGAAACTTCTCCACACCTACAGCATCATACTGTTTCATAGATCTTGCCAGGCAGTCGGCTTTGGATGTGGAGGACAAAGACGCAAGGCTTGGGGGCAAAATAAGAATAACCGTTCTGTTGTGCTGCACATTGTATGGCTTACGACGTTGTCGAAGACCGTTGTCGATAGGTATTTCAGTGCAGCAACATAGGATCCCAGAGAAACAAGATCAAGTCTTGAATCACGTATACCAAGACTTCCAAGCCTGAAGGGATCGCCAATGTCTCAACCACGATCTGTGTGTAATCCAAATTTGCAAGTCAGTAGGAACGATTTTTCTCGAAACAAAACCCCCCCACGACGACACGGGGGGGAAGGTGGTTTCAATATACCTTATTTCGATTTCATGATGATGATCTCAGCCTTGCGGATGCCGAAAGTCTTGAGGTATCCCTTCTCGCGGTCGTCGCGGAGCGTTAAGGTGGGCGTGACGACAAACGAGATAGACGCGCGCTCGGCCTCCAGGTCCCGGACTTCCATGCCGACTTGCTTCTCGTTGAGCACCTCCATACACGACCACGACATCTGCGACGCGCAGGGCGGGAAGTAGTAGTGCACCGTGGTGCCACTGACCCAAACCTTTGTCGCAGCCTCCCACACGGCGCCGCAGAGGACGCGCAGGAGTCGCAGGCACTCGGCCTCGGTGACGCTTTCGCAGCGGAGCGACTTGACGAGGCGCAGGAGGGCGCGGGCATGCTTCTCGATGACGGCGCGGCGGAAGCTGCTGATGTCTTTCCGCTCGAGGATTTCGCGGGCCAGCTTGGCGTGGTCCTCGACGAGGCGCTGGCGGGTGCGGCCGCGGGAGTCGTTGTAGCTGATCTCAGCTAGAAATGTTGGGACGTCAGCAGAGACAGTTAGCACTGGAAACTTAGAAGGGAGTAGAAATTACGAGGAAAGCCTGATACATAGGCATTGTGAGACATGTAAACTTACAAGAACCGAGAATGACAATTTGATCCTGAAGAGCCTCGAGGTGGGTGTCAGTGGAGGCGGAGTAGCCCATGAAGATGGAAGGGCTGAACATCTTGTTGAAGATGTAGTCGACAATCATGCGCTCGATGATGTAGGGACGGTAATGAGGCTCGTTGAGAAGAAAGTTCATGTGTGAAGCGCCGTGGAAGGTCGGAGAGTAGGCGAGGCTGATCATGTAGGACCAAGCGTCGGGGTCGTCAAGGACCAAGTTCTTATCATGGATGAAGGCGGGAGGCTTGTCGTGGCAGCGGACCACGTAGCCCTTGGTGATTTCGTAGATGTGCTCGACGGCAGCCTTGACATCGCCATGATCCCAGTTAGTCTTCAGGCGAGCTTTACTCCACAACTGCTCCGTGACGTCCTTGTCGGAAACAGGTGGATATGTGAGAATGGTTTGCGCGTTTATGCCCTCGGGAGTGGACCTCGGTAGAGTGGTGGGAGGGCATACTATGCCAAAGGATTTCGCGTAGCGAGCATCGAGAATAGAGGTGTCTTTGAGAACAAAGGCTGCGCAAGACGAGGCAATGATAGACTCCTCGTTAGCACGACTTCTCTCCTTCGCCTGGGCGACAGCCTCTTCTGCCATTCTCATGTACTTCGGGGCCCGAGGGGGCTCGCCGCCACGGTAAGGATAACCACCAGTTTTAGTGCCGGTGGTTACGCTGGCCGTCTTGACTGTCGGAGGCTCCCATGCCGGAGCCTTAGGATTGAACGTCGGATTGTTGCTGGTGCGAGGGTCCTGGAACTGGCCCGAAGAATGAGGTCTTCCCATGACGAAGTTGTTAAAGGCAGTCTGCTGTTCGAGTCTGGTCTGCATGCCTTGATGCTGCTGAGCGGGCATGGCTTCAACGTCAGACATCCGAACAAGGGCCATGCTGTCCGATCCAGGCTGAGCGACGGTGAGCTGAGAAGTAGCATACGTCACGTTGCTCATATCCATTTGGTGCCTGCGTTCTCGTCTCATTTCTTTCCTCATGGCAGCCTCGTGGAGCATCCCGCGAATCTGGCTCTCCAAGCTCTGTCAGGGGTTCGTGGTCATGTGTCAGCATCAAGTCCATGGTCTATTGATGAGGCTTTAATAGAAGGAACGGGGATGCCATACCTGGACCTGGGCAAAGCTGATCTGATCCTGCTCTTTGTAGCCCTTGATGAGCTCCTGATAGTGGGCTTGACTCTGCTGAGCATCCTTCATGGTGGCTACAATCTCATCCCTCTGACATTTCAGCTGCTCTCTGAGACGATCATTCTGAGCTCGGAAGAAGTTGGCACCATCATGGGCCGATTTGGCCTCTGTATCCAGGCGGATGCGTTCATTATCCTTGTCATCATAGAAGCGCAAGCAACGCTTGAGCTCATTCACTTCGTTGACAAGCCCCTGTATAGCGCGGTCATTGTCGTGAACAAGGTCGCTAATCATGCCAGTGACCATTCCGCCGACATCGTGGACAGCACTTTGACAGTTGACACTGAGGTCGCTGTTCATGCCGGTCTTCATGATCACGTTCTGGGCGAGAAGACGAAGGCGGGTGTCGATGGTCTGGACTTTCTGCCAGATGGACTTGCCAAACACGTTAGTCTTTGCCAATGAAAAAAAGAGAGTAAGTACATACTTGCTGGGCGAAGCTCATGTTGATAGGATCGGGATGCCAGGCCGGCAAAGCAACCTCCCTGGGCTGGTTCAGCTGTTGCTGGGTCGCAGGCTGATTATTATGCTCGGCTGGAATATGATCTGCCTGCTGACTTGCAGCCTGAACAGCCGGGTGGCTGTTGTATGGTATCAGCTGTTGCTGATGAACCTGATCGCCAGGCTGGGTGTTGTTGCCTTGATTCATCTGTTGGGACTGATAATGGTTCGCTTGTTGAACTTGAGGATGGTTCGCCTGCTGAATCTGGGGATGACTGGTCTGCTGAACCTGGGGATGACTGGTCTGCTGATCCTGAGGGTGGCTTGACTGTCTCGTCTGAGGACGGATCATCTGCCGAGTGTGAGGCCGAACTGGTGGCTGGAATTGAGGCTGGTTCACCTGTGGCTTTTGGTTCTGACTGGGAGCCTGGATGTGAACGGGGTGCATCTGGAGAGGGTTCACGTGATGTGGGTAGTTCTTTTTGGAACGAGAGCCACGTTGACGCTGCGTAGTCTTGATGCCGTGCGAGGTGTTGGGCTGATAAGGATCAACCTGGGGCGGAGTGGACAAGGCAACCTTGGGAATGGGCTTCAAGGAATCATCCCTGTTGCCAAACGACCGTGAGGCACGCATGAGAGATGCCTCGTCCTCCACAGGGCGAGACGGCTGGCTGGGGATGACCATCGGCTGCGCGTCAACGGTTCTCTCCGGAGTGGGCATGATCTGAGGCGGAGGGAATGGTTCAGGAAGATGGGAACCATACTCCTGGGGCACAACATGCTTTCTTTGAGGCGTGAGGACTGGCTTCTGAGAATTGTAAACCTGATGGGGAACGAGAGGCTGCTGAGTTGCGTTGCCGTACTGAGGTGCAAATGCCTGGTCGGAGCCAGGCATCATCTGAGAAGAGGAGAATGTATTCATCTGCTGGGAATTGCCATGCTGATTAGGCTGATTGAAGGTGATGGAATCGGCACGGGGCCTGAGTGGCGCACCACCGCCGCTAGAGTCACTACTCGCGATACTCGGGGGGCCCGGCATCTTGGCGGGTCTGTGGTGTCGAGCTCACCGAAGAGCACAAGAACGATTGCCTCAATGTCCTTGATACGATGATGGCGGACGACTGATAGCCAGTGGAGAGGGTGTTAGAGGGAAAGGTTACGAAGGAGTAAGGGCCAAGAGTGGTGTTTCTTGTGACAGTGCCTGATGAGTTTGCCCAAGGAACTTGAGGTGAAAAGAAGATGAGATTGCCAAAGACAGCGGGGCCTGGCAGAGTTTATACTTCTCGAGCGAAGCAGACTGGTGACTTTGAGCTC